CAAAATTAACGACCTACGAGACCAAGTAGAGACCATCAAGGCTGAGAAGAGTCGCTTGGAGAAGCAGATAGAAGTTAAATCGGAGGTAATTGATTTTCATTGATTATTGAGCCTGGAAGATTCGTCATTGAGGATTGCTTTCGCTATTTATTGCGTTCATTGACTGGTTACGCTATTATTCTAATTTCGTACTAGCGATCCACAAAATTATTTTTTAATTCTTGTATGAGTTCAAGTACTAGATAGTCATTCATTGATTTTACCGGAAGTAAATATTGAGATAGTAAATGATCACGTTCGATTAATCCGTGGCAACTATCGTCATTTTAATATGTGTAAGTTTAATCGATCGTTTATTATTCTTATCATTTCTTTGAGGATCGTTTTGGATGAAATGAACTCAATCAACGGGGCAGCTGTTTGATATACTTTCATCAAATAAAATAATAAAAGCATAATTGATATACTTTGGAAATTGCGGTTATTCTGGTATTCAAATTTGAACTTTCTATATTGAATAGTTTCCATGATAAGAATGGTAAAAAATTAGTTTGTTTTTGAAGTCAGGATAGTTATATGTCTCTATACTAGGACAATAACTACGTTTCTCGATAGGCCAAACCAATAGACACGTCTGTTCATCTAACACGACCTAATCTGAATCCAATACAGGCCTGTTTAAGGCCCATCAACCTAATGCAGACCTAATATGGGCCAACCTGAGCTACCTCACCCAAAGGAGACGTCTCACACATCCAAATCTAACCTTACTCCAACCCAGTATAACTCAGACCTAACCTAATCAAGCTCCCATCAACCTAATCCTTCGTCAATCAAGCCCATCCAATTCACCAGTCTGGTGTCCGAGTACTTGAACATTCCATCTACAATGCCTATCGAGAGTTAACCTATCGCGACTTTCCTTCTTTAGGAACTGCAAGGCCGCCTGCAGGACAAGGAACAGAAGATCGAAGTCTTAGAGATCGAGAAGCAAACGATGATGGAGCAGCTACAGGACAAAGCCACCGAACTCGAGAAACTGAAAGAGTCGACGAGAAACGATCCCGAGGCTCCGGCTGAACGAGAAGATCTTCTCCGTGAGCTCGAGCTGCGAAACGGTGAAATCGAGGAGAAGAATCGAAAGATTGAGCAACTAACGAAGGAGCTCCAGGTGAAGACCCAGAATCTGCAGCAGCTGGTGAACACGGAACTCTGGAGCAAGAACAAGGAGATAGCCAAGCTCCACAACCACATGACCGCCAGCCACGGTCACGAAAGAAGTCGGAACAAGTCCGATGTCGTCCAGGATAGCGCCGGTCAGCTGACCACCTTGATCAAAGAGTTGAACGACATAGGTATCAAGGTGACCTTCACCAACGAGGTGATCCAACTGAACTATATCGATGGAAACAAGCCCATAGATGTGAAAACGATGACGGACTATGTACAGAGGTTGGTGAGCCAGAAGAACGAGCTGGAGAAGGAGGTCGACTACCTGAAGTGGTTGAAACTGGTGTCGATGCCAGACATCGCCACCGAGATGGACGGATACGGCGACAATCAAACGGAGAGAGCGAACAAGTACTGCGAATTGCTGCGAACCCATCTCAAGGACCTGGTGAAGTTCATGAAGGAGATGCTGAAGAACGTAGACCGCGCCGACACGATCGGCAACGAGCACAACAGGATCGTGCTCGATGTTCTCATGAGCTCAAAGATACTTTCTGACGACTTCGTGAACGCCCTCGAAGGGATTTCTATCAACGACGCACCTCCCAACTTGGATGGAGGGACCGTCAAGTCATTCGAGAACTCTACCAAGAAGAGTCGATCGGAGAGTCTGGTTAGCACCATGAAACATCAAGCATCCACCCAGTCGGACTCAGAGGCGTTCTCAGAGCCAGATAGGACAGTCTCCATGGCCAGAATTGGCTTGCAAGAGACCCAACAGAGGTCCTTGAACAGATCCAGGTTCTCAAAGTACACGAAGACGTTCAGCGACTCCGAGGACTCTCTGGAATACGTGCCTTATCATAAAACTTATCAGAACGATCTGAACGAAACCGAGGCTAGCTACCACATAAAGGAACTGAAAGAAACTAACGCTCTGCTGTACACGGAGCTTAGTGCCCTTAGGAATGAACTGAGCAGCAAGGTTTCCTTCGATTGTGTGAGTATAATCTCTATTCAGAGTGTCTAGCTAGACTGTTTCGTTAATTTCAACTTAATAATGGGTTTACTGATATTTCTTATCTGTAGACTTTATGCATATAAGGGAAATTTGAGTGTGCAAGAAACTATAAAATGTGCACAGGATACAGTAATATAAAGAATATTTCATGTAAAGTTTATATTATGTTTGCAGAGCAAAATGACTTCCTACTTGGTTTCAATTTTTGTAGATACAAAGAGGGTACTAATTTTGTAGATAGTAGAAGTAATGTTTTCATAAGTGTAGTCGATTTACTAAAATTAAGAGGCTTAGACAAAAATGAATTTGGATTTCAAATAAATGGTTCCTGTACGAATACTTATTACACTGACTGTATGCTTGACTCTTTATATACATAAAAGTCAGCATAAGGCAAATAGTGTAACAAATAGTGTAAACAATCTGAAATTGGGAGTAGGTCAAAATATGCTCCCTAAACTAAGCGTTGAATACTACCATTACCCTTAATTATCACACGACTGTTAAACTGATTGTTCAATCTTGCAGACATTCGATGAAAGAATACTGCCCTTGATCACTAAACTGGAGAAATCGCAAAAGTTCTGTGAAAAATTGCAATCGTCTCTCGAGAGAAGAGTACACGAAGTTCACGCATTGAAGAAGGAGAGCAAGCAGAACAACGCTCGCAGAACGCAATTAGAAAAGAAGCTGGTCGACCTGGAGGGAATGGCGGTCGAAATGAACAAACAGAAAGCAGAGTTGGTGCAGTACAAAGAAAACGCTGATAAGAAGACTGCGGAGATGCTCGTAACGCTCAACAGAGAAAACGACACGGTAACGACTAGTTTATATTATCTGATATCTATTAAATTTAATTAAGTTCACCTCGACTTGTGGTTCAAACAAGTGACTCGATACATGACTAAATTCAGTTGAGGACGCGAATCAAGAAACTGGAAGTCGAAAACGAAAGTGCCAAAGCAAGTATATTAACATTAACGAAGGAGCTCGACCACCTAACTCTCACGCACAGTCAAATTCTGGTGGAGAACACGAAGCTAACAAACGACAAACTACGTTTGGAGCAAGAGGTCAGGAAAGCTGAGAACAGATGCGACTTGACCGTTCGTAGTATGCATGATAAATTTAACAAGGAGGTAAGACGTTCAAGATTCACATTGTAATTCGTTTCGTCGCATCGCTGGGCTTGATTCTAATTTACGTTCCCTTCCAGATCTCGGACCTGAATCAAATCAACGAGTCGCACAGGTCAAGGTTGCAGGAACTGGAGGTCGCGAACAAGGAACTCCGAAGGCACATGGCAATGTGCGATGCGAGCGATTCAGCGCCAAGTTCTAGCGGGGTATCTTCGCTACCAGCGGACGCGATACTCAAACAAACTTGCGAGGACATCATGCAAGAGTATCAGTCGTACAATGTTAGTTTCTGCCAAGGCATTTAAGTAAAGACATGGCTAGAGTTATCAGGAAACATGAGCACTAGTGAATCTTTTAAATCTCTTGATATTTGAAAATACTACCAAAAGTAAATTGTTTGCAGAATTCGCAATATTGGCTACCAGTAAACTACCCAACGCTGGGTGGACGCAGTAAATCCAGTTGTTCGCCGGATTTAGGAATCGAAAGCGACGCCGCAGTGTCGACCATGAGACCTTTGAAGGACACATTGAAAATTACAGAGTCGATGACTAATCTGTTGAGCGACGAAGATAACGGCAATAGCAACAGGCCAATTCGAGACATGGACAACGATAGTCCGTTGCCGATAGAAGGTAACTAGAGTCTACTCCTTGCATAAGTTAGGGTAAAATTTCGAAGAACGCTAAGTAGTATTAATGTTGCGTAAAAGCCTCGAATAGTCCTGGAACGTCTTTTAATACTCTGCGATGTTTAAAACACGTCTCAAATATTATCCTACAGGTCTAGATGAGGTGGAAGCATTGAAGCAAGAAAACGAAACGCTGAAAAGACGGCTGATGAAAACGAGAAGAGCATTGGAGGATACTTTCCAGCATCTCTCCACGTCGAATAAAAATAAGAAGAACGTCGAGAAGGCTATATCGAAGCAGCTGCAAATTACAAAGAGTATTCTCAAGAAAACAAGGACATACGAAGAGCCATTAGACAATTGACAGAGATGGGGGGATTAATGCGACCGAAAGAAAAGAATCGTACGCAGAGAAAAGGAAAGAGACTGTGAAGTTTTGCGTATTTTAAAAATTAACGTCCAATGTTTACGTTTTATAGTGTGCGACTATAATTCTCGAGCATTCGTTATCGAACGAATCGTAATTGTACCGATCAACGATCGATCCGCGCTTGTCATATCTTGTAAAAACTACGAGAAAGTATTTTGATACATTTGCGAGTCGTTAAAAAGGTATTAACGCGAGTTCTAAAACGTCGAGAGCGCGCTTCGTGAACTGGAACCGAATTGTACATTATGAATTTTGTATATAATCGTGTAAGCGTGTACTCGAGCTCTTTTGTAGATTGTTTCTTCTCTCCGCAAAGTTTACGTGAACCATATCATCGAAAAACTGTCCGTTTGTCGAATGTTTTTTTTTTTGTCACGACAGAAATTCGCCCGCGTGTACATACAAACACCAATGTATCATTACACAGCATTTGTACATAGTCCTCGCAAATAAAGTGCCATTGATATTTGAAGAGAAGAATTTGGTTGAATTTATCTCCTCGGATTACCTTCTGTTATTAAATTGAATTGTTATTAATACCTTGTTGTTGCACGATGTCTCGTTGAATGCAGACGATTGAATCGGTCGAAGAAAAAGCACGCTGCGATGTAGATTATGATAGAATTTTTATTATCACTCGATGACTAGATAATAATATAAAGATCCGTAGTAACTCGTGTCGATGAAGTTATGAACTGCGCCAGTCACGCGAATCTTTTTCTCTTTCTCATTTTATCTTTTTGCGAAACCCGGTGAGGAGCACGTATTCGGTGTTCGTAACTGTACAACATTCAATTCTTTCACACGACGAAACAATGGTTGCATTCAGAAAGACCACTGCTCACTGACCTGTTATGTGAGCGCGCTCACAGAGCGAGCAAACCACAAATATACGTTCCCAACATGGCAACTGCTCACTGGTAGCAGCCAATAGCATCAGAGAGCGGTCGCCAAGTTTGGAATCAAAAAATCCATAAGCTCACCCGCTCGCAGATAACATTACATTGTAATATTATTCATTCTTTGAGTGGTCGCCATGTTTTAGACGCAAAAAATTCAGAAGTCGAGAGTGCTCACAGAGCGGATTAGTGAGCAGTACCTGTCCGAACGCACCTGCTACCCTTCACGACGCTCACTCTGTCTCGAGTAATCGAATTGTCGTGGTTAAAACGACCGGGGGACGATGTATATACAATTCTACAGTGATATCTTTCCTTTGTCTCGGTCCTTGTTCTCATGGCACAATCCGTTCAGATAATACGAGGCGCACAGTTTTTGAAAAAATAGTTTCAAAAGCGTTGGATCGCGTGAACGTTGCCGCGAACGAAGCAAGGGACGCGTGCGAAACTTGACGACGTACAACCGGCTGAAGTGCGCCTCAAATTACCGTATACAGAGTGTCCCAAAAATGTTGTAACACATTGAAAGAGGTGGTTGGGGAGGTGATTTGAAATAACTTTTTCCTTAGCGAAAATGTTGTCAGAGGCTTCGTTGAGGAGATATTAACAGAAAACACTGACCAATCAGAGCGCGTGTATACCGTTGGAGCGCCAGCAATAGGCGTGGCTACGCGCTAGGCGGGCGCGCTCATACGCTACCATGGGCGGTCCACCGGCATACTCGCGCTCTGATTGGTCAGTGTTTTCCGTTAATATCTCCTTAACGAAGCCTCTGACAACATTTTCGCTAAGGAAAAAGTTATTTCAAATCACCTCCTGAACCACCTCTTTCAAGGTGTTACAACATTTTTGAGACACCCTGTATGCATAGGAATGCTCGATTCCGAATCGATTTTATCGAGAAAATTGCTACCTGTTTCTCGCGTAGATTTCGTTCTTCCAATATGTTTTGCTTAGAACTTCTAAGCTTGCAAGCTGTTTAATTGGATATTTCGATATAAATCAATTACGTTTAAAAGAATCGAACATCCCTGCTGCATGTTACACAGGCGAAGTCAGGAGACTGCTATCGATCGAACCTCGCGCTTTTGATTATCGTATCCTTCTACATCTAGTCGTGTTTCCGCGAATACGTGGTCTCGCGCGTACACGCACATACAATTTATACATGACACGCGTGTATGCATTGAAACGAGGGCACAATTGACATCGTAATGGCTTTGATTATTCGAAATCGTCGATGCTTTACGGACAGTGAACGTAAACGAGTAATTTCCCATAATCGAACAAGAAAAGAAAGGAAACGATTCGTCGATCACGAATATCAGTCAAGAGAGTATTTACACGAATTTGTAAAGATAAATTCACGTCACCGTCCGTAAAGGGTCAACCGTGCAATCGAACGTTTCGGTAAAGATCAAGGACCAGAATTGTAGCGCCATTTAATCGATCGACCGACGTAAAAGTTAATTCACTGCTGCTCGATTTCGCCAAAGATACGGAAACGCTATTAAATTCGATTAAAATTCGAAACGTAGATTAAAATATTTCGTCGTGGCCAACTAAAAACTCTTGGATCGAATAAACGACGCGATTCGAATTTCGTCCCTGATACCAGCCGCCATGTTGGCTCAACGGTTTCGTGGACGCCGGCGAAATCGGGCAGCGATCGTCCAAATTAATTGCAAAAGGAAAACTCACGTTCGATTGACAACTGGTGGGATGCTGATATCGATGACGCAGGAATGACACGGGATACTTTTAAGAGTGCCTCGTGGTGCAAACTACGCGATTTCTTGTCCCAAAATGAACAGCCGAACACGCTGACCGTCGTGCGCAGGCGCAGTGTCCGTCGAGCGACCGAATTGTCCACCGATTGAAAGTAAACTTTTGTTGGTAAAATGTCGATGATTCACACCCGTTTTCTTGTCATTCGATTACAATCGAATATCACGTCTTATTAGAACGACTTTCGAACGCGCCTGTGATTCGGAGAACCAATATTCGACGTACACGAAACGACCTAACGCGTCTTTCCTCCGCGACGCGACGTCCCGAATACGAGTGAGCCACCGAGCGGCACGCGGAGGAAATAGAGGGAGGTTGCTCCTGATTTGGTCGCGACGCTGGTAACTCTGAGGCATTAAATTTGAAACAATGTCGCGCCAAATATTTCTTCCGAGTAAATTACGGATTTTACGCATTCGTGATGTATGATATATATCGAAACGATATGCATCAGGTGTAGAAATTAATTCTGTGCCTCTTCCACAAACAGACGATTAACACCTTACCGACCGGTAACTGCTATGGTAACTAGCAAGTATTTGTTACTTTGAATTGAGATACAAGTTGCTTTGCTCTGTAAGCTCTCGTATTTTTATACAATTCTCGGTGCCAGGGAAGATCTGCTGCCGAGCGGCCTGTGAGAAGGGCATATGATGTTGAACCGCTACCGGTCGGTAAAGTGTTAATATCCTGTCGGTCGGTAAATGTCAGCGATCATACGCCTATTGATAGGCAACCAAACTTGCTCACGTGTCAACATATAATACCAGAATGACGATTCTTTGACGATTGAATATAAAGGCAAAAAATTAATTTCTGCGCCTAATGCAACGTATGTAAAATGTATTTCACAAAAGTACCGATTTTCTGCAGTTATGTCGTACCTGAATATAGAAAATATATACGCTGAATGAGTGCACTTATGTTTTCAATATTCATGCAAGCCATAAGTATACCAAATCAGCAGTCAGGTAACTTTTTATCACGGGAATTGACGCGTTAGTTTGCAAAATCGGTGTTGAGGCTGCTTTCTTGAATTTCAATTTCGAGTTTCGTTCAGCGGACAGCGTCGCTTGCGCCGAGATCATTGTACGCCGATCCTCCTCGTCTTCGTCTCATCTCTTATTGGAGTACGATAGAATCTAATCTGAACTATTTACAATAAATGACACCTGAAACTTGTAACGTCATGTAAGCGCGGTATACCACAGAAACGTGTCCACGTTGACGTTCGCTTTGGTAAACGATGTCTGCCGAAGCACGGTCGATTCGACGGAATTCCCTACGAAAATGAAAATCGACCGATTCGACGCTGTTCCATCGAGCTGTCTCGAGGGTGTTCTCCACGAACCCCATGGAAGTGATCCACACAGATTTCGTCGACCAGAATTCTCTACACAGTTGAAAACTTTCTGTTCCTGCGTATAAAAATTCATTAGTTAAATGTTCTAATATATTCTTCATGTTATTTAAAAATGAACGCGAAATAAAAATTGATTAAATTACCAGAATCTATATTCAGCGAGAATTTATTACACATCATCTGGGCGTTAGTTCAACGTAAAACAGATGTCGAGCATTATTTGCAACGTTTAATTCGTGTACGTTAACGGAAAATTTTCAACCGTGTAGTATTGACGGACATCAGTTTCGATCGACACTGACATTGACCGCGACATACATTTTCTACGTTTAATTACGAGGACTTCCCGTCAAAAATAATACCATCGATGAAGCGTAGTCGACGAAATTCTCTGTTAATAATTGCCACGGGATTCGTTCGACGAATAAATCGACGGATCATCGTTCTTCCGCGAAGCATATCGGTTCCAACGAACGTCCGGCTCGCGACACGTCTAAACTATCCTCTAGGTATTTCTTGAATCGACCATTAAACTCCATAGTACCGGGAAACGAGGAACTTGTACATAAATATATTTAGATTAATCGTGCTATCGAATGCGTAATCGTATGCTCGCTATGAACGTAACGTTCCAACGACAATCATGGCAATCGATCCGATGACGGGAAACCGGCCGGGACGGTGGTTAGCGTGGCGTAGAACGACTCCGCGGCAGGGGTCGTTCCTCGATCGAGGCTCTCGATCGATCCCCGCGCGTAGACGGATCCGTCGATGGCGCGATCGGAACACCGATATCCCCTGGAGCTCCTGCCTCGAGGATGCGACGTCGAGGATGGACGAAGGTGGACAGGCTGGTCCGTTGGAGGGCTCGTGTAGTCTTTCGAACGAGTCCTTCGCCGACGGGGTTGTCAGGTGAACGCCTTGTGCCGTTCCGTTCTTCCAAACGGTATCTGGCGACCCGTGGCTCTGCCGGGTTATGTGGCGTAGTGGGAATGGTGGTGAGCGTGGGGTGGTGGCGGTGGTTCCCCGAGCCATGAATCAGGCGAGGGTGGAAAGTCTGGGTAACCACCTCCGCCACCGCCTCCGCCGCCGCCACCTCCGCCACCCCCGCTCGATTCGTTGCTCAAATCCGACGCTGGACCTGGTACCATGCTCCCTGCGCCACCTAGAAGACACGTCCTTGTAAAGAAACATTTCATCGTTCGGCTTCATCCCCTGTACGTTGCGCCAAATGAACATCGGGAAGTGTGCGAAATGAACAGTTTCCCACTATTGAAAGTATCGCGTTAAATTCAAACGGAAATCTCGGTGTCCCGAACGATCCACCGATATTTTTCTGTTATTCGTGTTTAATAACCACGTTAGAAAACTGACGCGAATAGTCGTTGAATTTGGAGATGTAATAACGGGGCGCTCACTTACCGAGGGTGGTGTAGACGGAGAGGCCAGCATCCGGTGGATATGGAAATTGAGGTGGTAAGGACGGTGATCTGGACGTTGAGAGATAAGGGGGAGTCGTTGCGCCTAAATAACCGCGAGGAGGGCCCCCGCCTGCACCGTTCCCGCCTCCACCTGGACTCGCGCCTTCGCCATCCAATCCCATGTTCACCACCGTTCCGTAACTGTCGTTACTCAAATCTAAACGCAGACACGAGTTTTATTAGTCCAGCGACGTCTGTGAAGTTCCGTGGATTTTTAAATAAGTCCCATCAGTAAATAAAGGGTTAAATAAATTACGATTAAATTGTAATAATTGTAAATAAAGTAATTACAAAATAAAGTAATTACAAAAAAAAAAGAATTCCTTCTTCGATTACATGATATCAGTCACTCGTACATCTGGTATCGATAATTGGTATTAACAAAAGATTGTTAAGTATCTATAATTTAAACAACGGCAGGGGGTTGCGCGGCTTTAGGACGCGCCCGGTTAACGGTAGGCATAAATTCGAGGCTGGCCCGCAATCTTCCTGAAATCTCGGACACGGTGAGCCGGCAGTTAGCCTCCACGAACTCTTGAATAATTGACGTGATCGTCTTCCCCTCTGCTAAACGCTCGGATACACGAAAGCTTAGAGGTAACCGACATTAAAGCGAGAGGCTAGGTAGAACCATTCTTTTAACTTCCCTTCGGCTTCGTACCTATCAACCAAATGCAAAGGGTTTTCCAAACTAGACTTATGTTCACCCTCCGCGTTTAATTGTAATCGAGCCAGTGAAAATAAAAATATTTCAAACAAATATGTATCACTAACACCCCGCGGTACATGTAAGACAGTTCGAGGCCTTTCTAAAAGAAGGTAACGCGAATATGTTCTTCCCCGTGACAGTATCGCAGTGATAGAAATATACCGGAGGGTCCGTTCCGGTGCTTTTAACGTTTTCTCGTTTCGCGAATCGAAGGGGTTGCTTGCGCACACAGAGGGGAGGTCTGCGTACATTTTGCGATATTGGGAGTGCAAATAACGCGCTAACGGTCGCTTTTCAGCGCAAGTTCTGACAACGCGCAACGATTTTTTGAATACGAAGCCATTACCAGCACTGTTTGATATAAAAATGGCAGCTCCATCGCGAATACGCGTGGAACGACGGATTAAATTAATTAAAACAGAATAACCGGTCGTGGGATGTATCGAATCGAGGCGGAAGTCTCGAGCGGACGATTGTGTTGGGATAGGCTGATTTTGATTGCGCAGAGTGCAATTAATTACGTACCGTGGTGACTGAAGGTAGAATCCAGGTCGACCTTAAGCTCGTCCTTGTCGAGAAGCTTGTCGTGCCTAGGTGAATGTCCACCAGCCCCCGTTCCTTTCATGCGGAAATACTGGGACCATCTCGTTCTGCCCGCATCTTTCTTCAGTCTCTTCTCCTTCGCTCTTCTGCGAAAGAAGAAAATTAATATCGTGGATTAAATATTAAAGCGAAACTTTTTCTTCTTGTATTTCTTAATCAATTGCAACAATGCCTATGAAAATTCTATCGAGTTCTTTCGGAAGCTGATAACAAAAGTCCATGCATCACACTTTGTGGAAACGAAACAAAATGTGCCTACTATCGCAGTCAACATCGAGTTACGCACGATATCGCGAGTGTGAGACATTTCGATGCTTAAACTTTTGGAAAAAAGCAAGCTTTTTAAACCGATAACTGCACAATGTCCACAAAGAAAATTTTTCGAAACGAATATCTTGACATTGACGATGATACAACTTTCTCCACGTGTCGTTTCATTTTTATCATTTTCCACCATTGAAAGCTGCGACAAAATATCAATTTTATCTCCGTCCATTTTTCCAAGCCATTCGAACGTCGTTAAATATTACGGAAGAAAGGTCGCTCGAGGCTCATTGAGAAAATACTATCGCGCACGTGAACGTTTTTATAACAATGTTGCTCGGTTTATCTGGCACGGCGATAACACTGGACTGCTTCTTGATTTTCAAAGTGTCGTCGTAAATGTTTAAGCACAATCGCGGAAAAATCGGACGATTTCAAATTAATCATTCGTAATCGATTGTCGTTAGGTTTGGCACACAAGCGAAATAAAAATAGGGAAGAAATTTGTCTTTTTAGCGTTCTAGAAGTTACACCTGAACATGGGCTCGTTACTGATTAGACCGCGTTCTGCTGATAAAATGATTTTTTTCCAGTTTCGTTTGCCTATAATGTACGCAGCTTTGCTACTATTTCGAGAGAGATAAGGATAGCACTCTTGCAAAAATGCAGCAAGCCTCAGATCAGCGAGATAACAGATAACTCGTAACGGTAGGAAGCTATCATCCACAATGTTGCTACACTTTTTTGTAAAAATGCATGCGATTAGAAGGATAGCTTCGAATCGTTTCAAGTTCATTCTAAACCACGAAGATATTCCCTCTCGCGAGTCACTGTCTACTCGAAACCTTGCGAAAGGGTCTGTCATAAATGGCTTCCAGAACATACGATGAAACTGCTCTGCTATGGTATCCGAACTACGACCCCCGAAATTGATATCAGAATTCAAGTGGTGCTTAGAAGTCGGCGCACGAAAGCTTCGCTTCGTTCGAACACCTTTCAAACGTTCTCGCGCTTGTGAATTCTCAAAACATCAGCGATTAATGAAACCGACGATAGAATAAAATCTAAAACACATCTCCTAACTAAAAGTCTCTATATCTGTCTGCTTTGCAAACCCGTTACATTGTTCCTAATCTTCACTTCGACGGGTTTCAAACGTCTTCGCGCTTGTAAATTCTCGGAACATCGGCGATAAATGAAACCAACGACCGAATAAGGTTTGAAATAAATCCCTTGTGCGAAGAGTCCTGTACAGGCTGCTTTGGAACCGTGTTACATCGTTTTCAATCGGTATCATCGGCGACTTGGATCCGCCAATACTCGAATCTCTCCCAAACGCACCTGTTCTGGAACCAGACTTGAACAACGCGCATATCCAGTCCTGTGTCCTGAGACAGTTGCTCTCGCACGTGTCTCGCCGGTTTGGGACTGGTGTTGTACGCTAGTTTGAGAGTCTCCAGTTGCTTGGCCGTGATGGTCGTCCTCGGCCTCTTGTTGGGTTGATCGCCATCTATGCTTCCTCCGTCAGCCAACTCTACCGTGCGAAATAACAATCGGGTTAATAAAATTACCAAGCCTTTTCTAGGAATGATAAAGGTAAATCGAGTACGGCGCTATTTTGGAATTACCTTTCGCCTTCGCTTGCTCGTAATCGGGCTTGCAGACGAGCTTTCTGTCCTCCATCAGGTAGAACTCGTCACCGGTGTCCAGCTGCCGAGAGCAAAGGGCGCAGGAGAAACAGGTGAGATGGTAGACCAGTTCCTGTGCCCTTCGTACGACTTGCGACGGCGCCAATCCTTGGCCGCAGCCCGCGCATTTCGTCCCGAAACGCCTGCCACACCAACAACATACAACATTTTCACATTACGTTCGCGTATTAGTGACAGCAAGGTGTCGTCGTGACATGGGCGACACTGAGTTGAGAAACAAACTGAAGAAAAGGAAAGATGGGGTTCGAGACTTTCGGGCGTTTGTTGGCTTAGAAATTTGGGGTAAACGAGGTAACGTCACCGAGGTTTGTGCTAGTCTTTACGCTGAGAATATTTGAATTTTCGGGATTTGGACTTGTCACGGTTTCGGTGGTTTAGTTATCAGAGATACAGTCGGTTTTCTACGTATTCGTACTCTCTATGTTTATTGGAGAAAGAAGTTTGAATTAATTGATAGGTTTTCAATGTTCGATATTTGATTATTAGACTGCGGATCTTTATGCAAAATAAAATCTTGGCGAGCGCGCCTACAAAAATTGAACCCAAATAGGAATTTATTTTATTTTGCAAATATCGTAACACGAACTTCACTTCCAATTATTTTTATATTCTTGCATATTGTTTGCATTTTGTAGTTTCTTGCATATTCGAATTTCCTATAAATGCATCAAGATTCGCAGTCTATTGATTATAAATATAAACATGTGTAAAGTTTACTATTTGACGGTACCAGACCCATCATTTAATTTAGAGAAATTCCTACAATAGACATTCTACAGTATTTCATTTCTCATAAGCGCATGTATTCTCTATACATTCGTTACTAATATTTGCAAACCTATACCTTTCTTATTTGTTCCATCTTCTACCCGTTTTCTGCTATCGATAGAGACGCTGATGCTTCCGTGTTTCGTAAAAAAATCGCGAAACGCGTGCTTCGATTCCGAGTATAATTAAAGGGGCTCCGTTATAGATAGCGAATCAGCCATTTATCAGGCCGGGATGATGTTTTTACAGTTCCTGGGCGCGTTGCAAAGACGATGCTTTCTGCTCCCTTGGAGATTCTGATCCGAAGAAAGAACAAGGAAGGGTAAGACGAAGGGGAAGGGAAGCGAGTTCCTTCGATTCGGCAAACAGCAGAAGAAAAATGGCGTCTTGTGCTCGCGGAGGTGTGGGTAGATGAGAAAAGGCACGCTCTTCTGACACAATCAATACCAGTGCCAGGTACGCACACAACTCCGATCGTAACTTTTGCTTCCGTTTTCTCCCTCTCCTTCTTTCGCGACGAACAACTTTCGGCTATCCCGATGGCTTTTCTTTTTCGCGAGCCTACGCCTGACACCGTCGATAAGCGTTTCATGCCTACGCACTATCTGCCGAAGATAATATTTCGAGAAAAAGTGCGCTTGTATCTCGCCACTGTGATTACGCGACACCATCGTTGTCTTACATGGCGCGTTATGTAACGCTAAAGTATTTTAAATAAATAAGCCTCTCGTACCATCGATGTAACACATCTCTGTCGCTGGGCGTGCTCTGCTGACATTCCGAAGGAATTATGTATTCGAATACAAAAATAAATATAGTTGTAATTGCGTTTAATTTGAAATTGTGTTTCTGGTGGTAAGTGAATTAATTCGATTCCCTTGGAAATTAAAAAGAATATTCCCTTTTTAACAATATATACTTCTTAACAATGTGTTTCAGAGGCGAGATACAAGTCGGATAACCTCGCGACGGGTTACCGAAGCAACCCTGATTGCTCGTGATTGCACATATAGAAATAAGTATTGTAACTTACTTGAAGAAGTCGTCCTTGCAGAAAACATGGCCGTTCCTCGCGAAGCACTTGTCGGTCAACCTTGCACCGCAGTCTCGACACGTGAGACACCTCGCGTGCCAACACCTCTCGAGAACCCTCAGCACGTATTTGTCCAAAATTGCTTCTTGGCACCCGCCGCACTTCGGTATCGAGGCTGAAACAGTCCAAGGAAACCCATGCAATGGCAGTCGATAAAATAGACTCGATTATAATGCTTCCGATAAAGACATAAATCATCGTATGAATGTTATCACAATTATGCGGTCGGGTTGTGAGTAATTCGTATTGTCCGATACACTATCATTCGTAATACTCAATATCCAAAGATTACCGCTGCACTGTTTAACAGACTGCTGCAATAGTATAAGCAATTATGGCTTGAATTTCTACATTATAGTTTAATGGGGTGATTGTCGACGATGTTTGACAAGGAAGTTATAGCAAGCAGTAATTTTACTTCCACGGTGTTTATAACGTTGGTTAACGTGACATATCCCTTCCTTAGATATCCACAGCGACATTTCACAAGAACCTAACAGTCTCAGAAAATAAATTTCTCTGTATAAATTCCAATAAATTCCTTCGTTGAGGAGCAACGAAGGCTCCTCAAAAATGCTTCACCAATACCTTGACTACCCTATTCGATCCATATATCTATCCTCCACCTTCCTCATCCACCTTCACTCAACTCCATCCTAACATCCACCTGAATTCCTCACGATTAGAATACCATCGCTATACAACCACCTCACGATTTCTACAAAACTGCTTCACCAATGTTCAACAATTATATCTTGACTACCCTATTCAATCCATCTATCTACTCTTCACCTTCCTCATCCACCATCTTCAAATTCACAAGAACCTAACAATCTCAGAAAATAAATTTCTCTGCAGAAATTCCAAGCAGCAAAGACTAAGCCTAGCAATCCTCAAAAATGCTACACCAATACCTTAACTACCCTGTTCGATCCATATATCTACCCTCCACCTTCCTCATCCACCTTCACTCAATTCCATGCTAACATCCACCTGTATTCCCCGCGATTACTATTCTTCTGTCACTACCTATCATAAGCGAACGTATAAACACCTCTACAAGTCTCCCACCATCGACACCAGCCACCCCTGTGCCGATTTCCACCTGACGAAACTAGTGCAATACGATCGTCGCGTCTCACTTACAGTAGAGGATCTCGGGGATATGCGTCGGCAGACCGAGCTCCACCGCCGGTTGATCAAGCGGATGCATCTCGTTGCGAGGTGTGTCGTCGTAGCTGGCGATGTTCACCGCGCTTCCGGCGTTACTGCCGTTCCGTCGGACGTTCCGTGCCTCTGGACTGTCGTGAGGCGGTGTCAAGACATCTTGACGGCCGCGGCGATACATCCCTTCCAGAGGCAGAGCCTCGCGGCCCAGCATTTCCAGGCTTATCATAGTCATCGCTGCGCCTTTTCATCCGATTCAGCGCTTGGATGATCGCTGCGAGCTCGAGGAGCTGCACCTGTTATAAGCGACACCGAAGAATCCCTAATGGACGAGTTCTTCACTTTCTTCTTTGGATTTTATGAGCCTTGTGTTCGATTAAGTGAACGAGGGGGCTGGAGGGTTATCGGTTCACAGGTTCTTTGGAGTTGGTGATATTGTGTTTAGGTCAGGTATTCACTTTCTTCTTTGGATTCGATGAGCCTTGTGTTCGATTGAGTGAACCTGGAGGCTGAAGGGTTGTTGGTTCCTGAATCAGAGCTTTGGGCCTTAGTTGCTGAAGCCTCCTTTGGTATCAATCCTATCACTGATGTCTGCTGTTATATCAGACAACTGACTCTCTTCTTCTTCCTTTGCGTTTGGATTTATAGAACACTCGAATCTTTGGTACCGACGACTAGATATTCGGAGTCACTTGTCTCACTAGCTTCCCAACAGTCTTCACACCCCTATATACTGTCTACTTTGTCCTCTAATCCTACACTACTTACATCTAACTTCCTTATTATTCCAACTATTCTCTGATTAATCGATGCTAACTCTCCTTCGCCATCCGTTCCATCATCCTATGCACTTTCCTCCGCACTTCCATTAGTCCTGATTTCTCTTTGTCTCTTCTTCACCTGGCTCGAACTTCCCTGATTCTCTATCTCCGTTCATAGTCTACTAACAAGTCTCGATGCGAACCAAATCTGCTATCCAACTTGGGCATCGAACGATCAAGGAGCGAACCCTGGAACCTCTGATACCTTGGACAGTATCTTACACCAATCTTCCTCCAACGTTAACTTCAACGATCTTTGCTCACGATCTTCTTCCTCGTCCAGTCATCGATCCGATGGCCACCTATTGTCACCAACTGTTTCGATCCAGACACTGACACTGTCAACTGTATCAATCTAGACTCTAGACACTGTCAGCGAGAGCAGATCGTCGACGACGAACGACCGGACGATGCTCTCTGTGCGAGGATACGCGAGCGACTGTTCAGACGTTGTCGTAGCTGCTCGTGCGCACGTGACATTCGTGGGTGTGGCAGAACCCCGGTGGGGATCGCGAGCGGGTTATTGGGTGCGGTTCGCACCCACGCATCCAAGAATACGTCGCCGATTGGAGGGAAGGTCGACCGCCTCCAATATGGCGATCGACGGACCAGTGCGCCTTCCGAGCGAACGACGCTCTCCTGGCAGGACGATCCGCGACGCAGGGGTGCAGGTGACGCGTTGACGCGACGCCGATGACGCTCGGAGGACGACGGCGAAGCTTCCAGAAAGATGGTGGCAATCCCTGACCCTGGCCATGTGCGAACCAGGCGCTTTTCAAAAGCTTTTTTACGATTTTGACAGGTCATGGTGGTAGCAAGCCAACGATACGATCTATTGATCGGTGGGAAGTGAGAGAAAAGGGGAATCGATGTTGACGCGGAGGACGCTTCGAGGAGGACGGTGAGGCTTACAGATTTCCAGAGGGATGGTGACGATCCATCCGAAAGCCACGGTGGTCCCAAAGAAACTGTGAGAAGTAAGAAAAAAGGGTAATCTTTGGTTCGTCGATGAAGTACTGAGTTGAGTTGACACCCTCGAAAATAAAAGCATGATGCTTCATGACTCGTTGACTCTTGGTTTTCCAAGGTACCTAAAGGGTTCTCTAATTTAACCATTTTGTCAGTTCTTACCTTAAAGTTTAGGGCCGAAACTCTCCAAATCGACCCTCCCCGGGATAATACAAATCCTAATACACACACACACACACATCAATTGTCCCAAAACATCGATAAACCCATGTTTCGGGTCAAGAACGTCCAAACTCTGACCACCTCCAGGTCCCTAGTTTCCCATTCTCCAGCGTTGCATCGTCGTTCCATGACGATCCATTTCCGCTGTCCATGGCAGCCGAGTCCTATTCATCGGAATCGTCGCGTAAAAGAATTCCCGAGCACTCCGCGGCGCGTTCCTTTGGCAACGTCTGGAGAGTCGTGCCGATTGTGAAAGCAAGCGTCGCGGAAAGGCAAAGAAATCGGGGCTGGTTCTCGCGAAGGTGGGTGGGTTGCGAGAGGCGAAAAGAAAAGAAAAGAAGAGGAAAAGTAAGGGAGGAAGCGACAGAAGAAGCGGAGAAACCGGGCTGCGTAGGGGTGCGGGGACGAGGGTGGGGATACAAAAGGATCCGAGCGAAATTAAGAACAGCCGTGAGGGTGGGCTGAGGGTCGCCATTTTATAATCTTAGTCGGGATCAGTCGCGTATACTCCTTTCTCGTCCCTCGGTGATTCGCGCGCGCCCAACCACACCGAACCGAATAAGTCGGCGGGGTCGATGTATCAAACGGACGCGTAGATACGTCCACCACCATCAACCGGCACACTTTTTCAATGGGCGTCTTTGTTTTTCTCGGTCGCGTCGGATGGCTCCGTGTCCTCTTTGTCCCCGCGTCTCGCTACCCCTTTTCACCTTTCAGATGAAAACTCATCCTCCTCTGTTCGCCGCTCGCGATTTTCCGCTGGCTGCGCCGACTTCTGATCGCGCCTACCGCGAGCGCGTTTGAAGAAGAGCTGCGCGATCGTTCACGAGGTCCACGGGTGATCTGTGTTTTTGCGATGTCGCGCAGCCTTTGGTGTTAAGGGGTTGCACGGGTTTCGAGGGCCGAAAAGAAAAGCACATTTTCTATAAATTTTTTTTTTTTTTCGAACGGACTGGATGAGTTATATCATTCTTATGTTGTTCGAAAGAGTTACATTTGAAGAATATTTCGTTAATTTTTCATCAAAAAATATTCGAAATATGATATTTAAAAATATGATACAAGTATCACGTGCTATGGTCACGTACTAATAAAAAGTATTTAATTTCTTGACTTCGGATAAAGGTATCGTGAGTTATCCTGAGTTATCTTGAGGATGGTGAAAAAATTAGATTGCCAGAATCATTTTTAAATATAAATTGCTTCTCAATAGATCCCTAATGGTTTAATTACAATAATTCTCGAAGAACCGATACGACGTTCAACATTAATGATCTGCGTCTCTCAATCATAGACTACGAATGTACAAATCCCAATAATCTTGGTTTAAGTAACAATTCTCGAAGAGCTGGAACGAGGACCAGCCAGCGAAGGATCGTATCGCGGGGATCGCTGGAAAGAAGAAGCGAGAAGCGACGGAGACTAATGAAAACCAGTCGGAAGGCGCAACGATGCGTGACTAACAAGCGTTATTTACCGCTGAAAAAGCGCGCCATACCGTGGTTGGCGAATCGCTCGCGTATCGAACGTTTTTTTTTTTTACTGCCATTTCAGGACCATGGAAGAAACTGACGCGCGCGCATAACAGATTTTACGGGCACGACCGTCGTCGTGCAAAAGTGTCGAACCATCTGTTGCCCCGCAGCCACCCTTATCCACGTGGTCAGGTGGAAAATTTTGCATCGTTCACCAATTATGCTTCCGCAGTTTCATCGTAGACGCGTGGATGAGTCCTTTAACAATTCGTGGTTTTCATGGACCATTAAAGAATCCTAATCGGGGCTTCGGAACGTTAGCAATGTCCTTGTGGTGAGATAATCATTTTCGATACGTCATTTTAGATTCGAGTCGAGTATCGTCCCTTGTGATATTCGTGAGAGGTTGTCGCATCTGTATTCAGCTTGTTGCAATCTGCATCTTCAGGGATAGGTAGCTC